CCTAGAAAATTATATTTTGGATTTTCACCACGATTTTGGTCATGAAATTGAGAGTAAATTATATATTTGAGTTCGTGAGGTCATGGGTAAATTTTATCTTCGAAAAATTTCAGAATCCGGGCACGTGGGCCCGAAGGCGATTTTGTTAACTTTTCGATCGGGGTTAGGAATTTGTTATAAATTGGATTATAATGAGTAGTTGATCTCATATTAATTGGTTTACATAATTATTGGCTAGTGTTGGAGCATTTTGCATCGATTTGAGTTTTCGAAAGGGCGTGGATTGCCGGTTATGGAACTTCGGAGCGAGGTGATCTCCTTATTAACCTTGTAAGAGGGAATTGTCCCCATAGGTGAATTAATTGAATATATGTGCTGCTATTTGTGGGGGCAACGTACACACGGGGTGATGAGAGTCCGTGCGTAGCTACTATTATGCCTATGTCTGGGTAGTCTAGGACCCAAAAGCATGCCTACTTGTAATAATTGTAACTTTATTGATGGTTTAATTTTCTTAAATCATATCGAAGTGGCAAATGATTTTCTAAAAGAGTTAAACTTCATTTTCTTGACTTGTAAAAGAGAAATGTACACCTCCTGGAACAATTGTTTCCTAGATGAAGTCTTGATTGACTGTGTGAATATGTGTTTCTATGTGTACCTGCATCGCACGTATGATTCGCGAGCAGGGTAATTGTTATTTGTGTTTGACCGCGTCGCATGTATGATTTGCGAGCGGGGTAATAGATGCATCTATGGTTCGCGCCATTCGACCCTCTGGCAGTGCACAATCTAAATATTGTTGGATCGGGTCGTACGTTCTCGGCGTGATTTACGCATGCTTGTATCGCTTGCCTTGAAATTTATTGAAATTGATATTGTTTCTTCCCGGCTTGAGAATATATGTATAAATGATGACAAAAAAAAAGAAATTGGAAATTTTCATATAAAAAGAATTGGTTACTTGCTTCACTTTATTGAATTATAATCATGTTATATAAACCCCCGATTTGTCATATTATTAATGTACCAATATTGGACCACTAGTAAGTGTCGAAGTCGACCTCTTGTCTCTACTTCTTCGAGATTAGGCGGGATACTTACTGAGTACACGTTGTTTCCGTACTCATACTATACTTGCTGTGCATTTTTGTTGCACAGGCACATGCATCTCTAGCGGCCTAGTGGGCGTAGCAGCATGGTTGATTCGGAGACTTAGGTGAGCTGCACTTCTCGAGACGACTCACAGACAACAGAGTCTCCTTCAGAGTATCTTACTATATTTTCATTTCTGTCCACCTTGTATTCCGGACAGTTACTGTATTTTATTTCATTCCCTAGTAAATGCTCATGCACTTGTGACACCGGGTTCTGGAATGTTTATGGGGTATCTTGTATTAACTTCTTAACATTCTATTTAATTGAAATGAATACCTTTTACTAGTAAGATTGAAGGAAAAATCATAGCTTTCACAATTATTTAAACAAGAATTTAATTAAGTATTTATGGTTGGCTTGCCTGACAAGGGTGTCCGGCGCCATCACGACCCTTAGTGGATTTTGGATCGTGACATCCCTAGTGGTTAATATTTCAAACCAAGATTTCTTCTTTCTGAATTAATCCAGTCTCTGAATAATACGAAAATCTCTAGACTGTCCTCCGCTAATGCATGTCTATGATCTCCAATTTGAAATCTTGCCGCACTAAAAGCACTCTCCGATGCTACTGATGATGCTTGAATAGCCAGGATATCTCGGGCCATAATTGAAAGTGTTGGAAAAGCCTTGCACGCTCCCTCCACCATGACAAAAGTTGTTCCTTGCCTTCTTCATCTTTAATACTTTCCATTCCTTGATTAAGATAAGAATCAAGCTCATCATCAATAGAGGAATCAAAACCTGTTATATCATCCATATCTTCCCATAAAACTTCTGCTCTAGACGTAGAAGTAGAAGGAGCAGTTTCACAACCAGTTGTATCCATAGATTTATATTTATCAAACATCGATCTAGCATAAGAATATATGCTAGCTTGGCAGTCTTAGAGGGATGGTTGTTCAATTTCTTGAATTTCTAAATTCTCATAAATTTTACGAACAAGTCCCTTTGCACCTCTTAGTTTTAAAGATGTGTTAAGTAGAGTAGAAATTAAATAAACTTCGGGAATAGGAAAAAAATACTTTTTAAATTTTAAAATCATTTCATTAATGGCCGGTGCATAAGTTGGATTTGTTTTATACTTATCAATTACAACAGAAATTCCACAAATATACCATAATATTTGTGTAACAGTAGGATAATATATACCAGAAAATTGTTTTGTAGCATAATAAAAATTTTCTAAAAATTTAGCAAGCTCTTTGATCTCATCCCAATCAGAATCAACAATTTGATCAACAGGGTGAGCATTATGCATATTAAATACCTTTTGGATAGGCACCCGATAATCATAAGCAACTTTAAGCATTTCATTAGTAGAATTCCACCTATTACAAACATCTTTTGGAAATTTTCTAAATGGAAGGTTAGCACTAGCACATTGTTGAGCAAATTCACGAAATCTCATTTGTTTATGAGCACGAAAAATATAGGCACAAGCATGTTGTATTTTACTACAAGCATCAGAAAATAAATTAAGACCATCTTTTACAACCAAGTTAAAAATATGGCATGCACATCTAATATGAAAAATTGTTAGATTAATTGGAAAAAGTCTAGATTTTAAGTTATTTGCTGCGGTTGTGTTAGCAGAAGCATTATCTAACGTGATAGTTAAAACTGTATTAATGAGTCCATAAAAATCAAGTATTTGTAGAACAGTAGTTGCAATATATGCTCCAGTGTGTTTTGAATCAACAAATTTATAACCAATAATACGTTTTTGCAAGTTCCACTGATGATCAACCCAATGACATGTAACAGTTAAATAATCACAACCATTAGGACTACGACCTATATCAGATGTGATGGACACTTTACAATCTAAGTGAAAAGATACACAACGAATATACTGAAGATATTCGGTTTGAAATTTAAAAACATCATTTCTAACCGTGGTCTTAGGAAAACCTTGAAAAGCAGGGTTATAAATTTCTTGCATATAATGCACAAAAGCAGGGTGAGAAGGGAAAGTAAAAGGTAAGCCACAGACAACCACCATTTTTGCTAAGATCTCACGATCTCTATCTTTGTTATATTTGCGTAAAACATGACCAGAAGCAGGGTCAAGTTGTTGTTGAATTTGATTAGAACCAGATCCACTAGGAGTGCCAGTACTGATGGTAGGATCTATAATTATTCCGACTTCTATGTTAGCTTGTATCCATAAAAATTTGTGATGCTTTTTTAAGTGTCTACTTAAACCCCCCGTCCCACCACTTGTTGCGTGTGCAAATTGTTGCGCGTGCAAATTGTTGCTTATATTTTTCACATATAGCACGATGATTGACTTTATCATGTTTAAAAAATTTCCATACAAGTGATGTTTTGGGACGTTCAGCCTTAGGCTTACCCCTTACAGGGGGTACAGGGGGTAAAGCTCCAGACTGAGATTGACTCTGAGTTGGAGCTTGTGTTGCAGGACTAGTGGGTGTTTCATCTAATTCTTCTTCCTCATTTTCTTCATCCTCATTTTCTTCGTCCTCAAAAAAAATATCATTGCCAAATTGTCTTTGTAAAGTTTCATGATCTAATTGTTCTCCGACATGAACATCATAAAATGTGGGGGGTTGGGAAAATGAAGTTTCATCAACATGAGTCATTTCATCAATATGTTTTCTAATTCTAGGTCTAGGAGAAGGGTTAGGATTATGACTAGGATTAGGATTACTACTACTTTCACCTTTACTATTTTTTTTACTGCTTTTTTAAAAAATGCCAAATATATTTTTAGGTGCCATAATTTAAATACGAAATTAAATTAAAAAAGCTAGCACAAAAATTAAACACACAAATGAAATACGAAAATATAACACGTAAAGTAAACACAAAAATTAAGCACTAAAATGATACGCAAAAATTATATATTAAAATTAGGAGATGGAACGAGTGCACCGTGATTAAGTATTGAAACTTGAAGAAATTGCCCAAAATATTGCTCCAAATACTTGACGAATTAATTTGAAGCTTGAAAGTTGCTCCAAAAAATTTGCCCGAATACTTGAATGATGGAATTTTGCCCAAATACTTGAATGATAGTTGATAGTAACAAAATAGAGAGAATAATATAGATAGAATATTAGAATGTAAGAGATTTGAGAGAGAAGATTGATTTTTTGTGGGGAAAAATGAAGAAGAATGGGGGGTATTTATAGTAGAAAATAGGGCCAAAGTATAATTTAATAAACTTAGGGGTTATATTAAAAGTTTGGGGGAGGTAGGGGGTGTTTGGGGGGGGCGGGGATAGGGGCTGTTTGGACCGTTGGCAACGGCTATTTTTGCAATTTAAGCCGTTGCCCAACGGCTAGTTTTTTTTATAAAAAAAAATGTCGGGACGCGAGACGGGACGAAACGGGACGGGACAAACGGGACGAAATGGTCGTCCCGTCCCATCCCGTGTCCCATTTAACATTGGCCCATCCCGTTTAACTTGGGACGGGACGGGACGGGACGCGGGACGGGACGGGCCGGCCCGTCCTGTTGGACAGCCTTAGCTTACAGTACGAATACACTTTGGGCCGAATAAAATAAAGGCCGGGTAAATAGTTTGGGCTGCATGGATAGGAGAAGTAAATAATTTGGACCTGGACATTAAAGGGTAAATAATTTAGAATTAATGGATATAAAGTAAGATTTTCTCTAAAATTAATCATATAAAATGAGACAGATAGAAGTAGCATATAAAATTGAACAAAGAGTCAAAGACTAACCCATAATTTTGTCGGTGAATCAAACCCCAATTAATGCACTTTTTTAATATAAAATAAAAAATAAAATGAGAAAAAACTGGCGCGTAATCTGGCAAAAAGTAGCAATTTATTACACACAACATGACATAACATAAGGTCCACTCATCATATCATTAAAAACCTTTCTTAAATTCTCTCTCAGTTTACCCACCTTCCATTTTCTTGAACATCTCAAAATATCAACTCCCAAAAAAAAAAAAAAAAAAATTTATACCCCAAATAACAAGATCTATTTCTACAGTATACTCTACTAATCAAACAGTTATGGATTCATCAGATGATGATATTGAAGAATATCTTTTCAAGATTGTAATAATAGGTGATTCAGCAGTTGGAAAATCAAATTTATTATCAAGATATGCTAGAGATGAGTTCAACTTGCATTCAAAAGCAACAATTGGAGTTGAGTTTCAGACCCAAGTTCTTGAAATTAATGGTAAAGAAGTAAAAGCTCAGATTTGGGATACTGCTGGTCAAGAAAGGTTTAGAGCTGTAACTTCTGCTTATTATCGTGGTGCTTTTGGTGCATTACTTGTTTATGATATTAGTCGGAGAAGTACTTTTGAAAGTGTTACGAGGTGGCTTGATGAGCTTAATAGTAAGTTATTTCGTACTGTTCTGTTTCAATTTATGTGTCATATTTCCTATTTTAATTCGATGCACTAAACTCTCGCTATCAGTTGCGATGCCACATGATCACAAGGGTGGTCAACTAACCACCTTCGCCGAAAAATTACACTGTGTATATAGGTAAAATATTACGTTTTAGAGATATATAACACATATGGAACACCCTTTGTCGGAATTTTTTTTTCATTTCTTTCAAATTTGAATAACTCGGAAAAATTCCTAGCTTCGCCACTGCTCGCTATGCGGGGGTCGGAGAAAGGGCCGGATCATAAGGTTCTATTGTATGCAGCATTACCTTGCATTTTTGCAAGAGGCTATTTTCATGGCTCGAATCCGTGACCTCTCGATCACGTGACAACAACTTTACTAGTTATATCTAGGGGTGGGCGTTCGGGCAGTTCGGATTAAATATAGAATTTCGGTTTGGATTTTCGGTTTTCGGATTGAAGAAATGACAATCCAAATAAACTCGGATTGGATCGGATTTTTTAAGTTCGGTTTCGGATTAATCNGGGTATTTGGGGGGGGAGGGGGGTAGGGGCTGTTTGGACCATTGGCAACGGCTATTTTTGCAATTTAAGCCGTTGCCGAACGGCTAGTTTTTTCAAAACAAATAAAAAATTCTGGCGGGACGGGACGAAACGGGACAAAACGGGACGGGACAAATGGGACGAAATGGCCGTCCCGTCCCATCCTGTGTCCCGTTTAACATTGGCCCATCCCGTTTAACTTGGGACGGGACTGGACGGGACGCGGGACGGGACGGGTCGGCCCGTCCCGTTGGACAGCCTTAGCGTGAAGAAATGTGATAATCTTGGATAGGCTCGTCTTATAAAATTATTATCTAATCCAAATTTTCTTCTTACTATTTGTCACGAATCAAGTTCTATGACTCGAACAATTAAGCAGATTTATGTCTTGTATTCGAGCTTTTAGAATGGAAAAACTCATTGCAAAGAGTAGGGGGTTTACATAGGTCGGGTTGGTTCGGATTTTTCAATTACCAAACCAAATCAATTATGTCGGGTTTTTAAATATAAAGACCAAACCAAACCAATAAACTCGGATTTTTCAATTTCAGTTTTTCTCGGGTTTTCGGGTTATTAGGGTTTTTTCGGATTTTTTCGGTAAAATCTTGTAACGACCCGACCGGTCGTTTTGAGCTCCAGCGCGCCGTTCAGCAGTTTGAGGCCATGAGCAGCTTCATTTCGGGTATTATGACTTGTACGCATGATCGGAATTGAATTTCGGGGAGTTCGGAGTTGATTTAGAAAGAGAATTCTCATTTCGGAAGCATTAAGTTGAAAGAATTTGCTAAGATTGGATTTTTGAGTAAACGGCCTCGGAATCGGGATTCGAAGGTTCCAGCAGGTTCGTACGATGATTTCGGACTTGGGCGTATGTCCGGATCGGGTTTTGGAGGACTCGGGGACGTTTTGGCGCCTATTGTGGAAGTTAGCATTTTGGAAGAATTTCATAAGTTTGAGTTGAAGTGCATTTCAGTGTTATCAACGTCCGTTTGGGATTCCGATCTGGGAATAGCTGCGTATGGTGATTCTGGTGTTGGGAGCGCGATCGGAAGTGAATTCGGATGTCCGTGGGTCATTTTGGAGTCATTTGGCTAAATATAGAAATTTGAAGGTTTTTGAGAAGTTTGACCGGAAGCGGACTTTTTGATATCGGGGTCGAATTCTGATTCCGGAAGTAGGAGTAGGTCCGTAATGTCGAATATGACGTGTGCAAAATTTGAGGACAATCGGACGTGATTTGATAGGTTTAAACACCGAAAGTAGAAGTTTGAAATTTTAGAGTTCATTAAGCTTGAATTGGAGTGTGATTCATGGTTTTAGCGTTGTTTGATATGATTTGAGGCCTCGAGCAAGTCTGTAATGTGTTTTGGGACTAGTTGGTGTGATTGGACGGGGTCCCGGGGGCCTCGGGTGGATCCCGGGTGGTTAACGGATCGAATTGGAACTTGGAGGAAGAGCTGAAGTTGCTGGTTGCTGGTGTAACCACACCTGCGAGACTTGGGCCGCAAGTGCGGAGCCGCAGAAGCGGCCAAAGGGGCGCAAATGCGGTGGTGAAGGGTGAAGGCTGGGACCGCAGATGCGGTCAGGTCACCGCAGAAGCGGGACCTGTTGATACCCAATTTTTCCCTGTGTTTTTTTTTAATATGCAAAATACCTTCAAAATAGCCTGTATATGCATATATAAGCATGTCCCAAGGTTTTATTATTTTTCCTTAATTTTTAAAAGATTTTTAAATCAATTTATCGCCCTATTTTATCAAGGAAAACCGAATAATTACTCCAAAAAAATATTATTTTTTGGTGAGTCATTTACTGGATTCTCATATTTATGCTAAAATATAGCTAACATAATTTTCGCACATTTTTATAAATTTATTTGATATTTTTAAAGCTAAATTGCATGTAATTTGCAATATTGGCCTCTTTTAAAATTTAATCGTATTTATAGTTATAAAATTTGACTCCAATATTTCTAATTTAATAATTATGTATTATTAATCATTTTAGTGCCTTTAATTTACTTCTAGAAATTATTTTACTATTTTTTATAAAATAAATGAGGGAAAAATGGCTATTTAAATGATAGCCCATTTGCATTTCAATTTTAGCCGGATTTGAACCTCTAATTAAACCCAATTCCTAAACCCAATTGCCCAGCCCAATTACCTAATCTACCCGACCCATGACCCTTTTAATAACCCGCCCGGATCCCCCTTTTAATCCCAACCGTTGATCACTTAGATCAACGGCTCACATTCGCCCCTTCCTTTTTTAACCCGACCTAACCCCTAAACCTAATCATTTCTCACCTGTAGCCGCCCTTGGATTCCCCCCTTCTCCCAATTCTCTCTCAAGCTCCCTCAGAAACCCTAGCCGCCTCCCTCCACTTCCACCCTAAAGTCGCCTGAATCAATGGCTTCCAAAGCCATTACAGGCCTGAGTCCTCCTCCTATGACTCCTACATGCCTGGTTACTATGGTTTCAAGGTCAAACCTTGAAGAAGCTTGGCCCAGACCTGGTTTTGTTCGAGTTCTATGGCTGTCTCCGACCTTGCTCCGGCCAGCCATGGCTGTTCAAGCCTGATCTTGACCTCTCCTGCTCAGATCAATGACTTTCCAAGCCTTTCTCACCATCTGGTTTCTTCTAAAACCCTAGCCTTCGAGTTTCTTCTGATTCTTTTAGATCCGTTGTATATCTGTGTTTTCTCTAAGTTTCTAAACATTTTCTCAAAGTTTCTTCCAAAACTTTACCTTCAAAATCTTTACCTTTTCCGATTTAGGGTTCTGTTAAGTCATTTCAAAGCTTTTCTGATTTTTTTTAACATGTTCTACTGTGCTTCTTATGTTGTTCTTCTACTGTGTTTTTTCTGTTGTTCTTCTACTGTGTTTTTATGTTGATTCTTCTACTGTGTTTCTTATGTTGATTCTTCTACTGTGTTTCTTATGTTGTTCTTCTGTTGTGTTTCTTTATGTTAAAAGTCTTAGTTCTTCTTAAGGTTTCTGATTTTATTTCCTTTGTTGATAGTTTTGCTTGATTTTCTTGTCTTTCATCTCTATACTCGATTGATGATGAAAATCCTAAAATTTGGGGGTTCATTCGAGTTTTGAGACTGTTTGCTATGTGACTTGCTGGTTCCTCATCTCTGAATTTGTTTGATTTCAAAGCCCTAATTCCTTTGGACCTATTCGAGCTTCTGAAAACTGCTTCGTCTATTTGAAGTTGCTCGACTGGATTCAAAGTCCTTGTTTCAACTTCTGATTTGGTTTCTTGCAATCTTTGAACTAAACTATACTTTTCAGAAAAGGTCTTTTACTTGACTTTTTTTGCATGCTTCTGATACCCTCTTCTCCCTATTACTAAGTCAACCTATGTGACTACCATGTTTCACTATCTACAGACCTTGTAATTATTATTGTTGCTTCTCTTTGCCATGGTTTAACCTCATATGCCTAGTGTTTGTGCACTCTTTATATACGCTAAATTTCCCTCTCAAAATAACCCTTAATTATGGACTGATTTCAGACCTCCTTATGTAAGCCTGATTAATTTATTTCCTTGTTTTACTAATTTCCCTGTTTCTTAGGTTAATTTGAAAACTTTTCTTAGCCTTCCGATTCTCCTATTTCTGACTTGGTTTATTTGTAACTTCGAATCCCTGACTCCTTGATTTACTTGATTGATTTATTGTGTTTCTTACCTTATTTGGTTAACCGTGTATTTCAAAGATTCTTCATTAATTCTTCCCTTAATTAAACTCCTATGTATTTACCCCTAATTGCCTACCTTGCACAAGATGCTTACTTGATTTCCTTCCTTAAAAGTTTTCTGCCCTTTACCGTTTGAGTTTAAAATCCTTAATTAAAGGAGGTTTTTATACTGATTGATTTTAATTGGTACACAGTTCCATAATTATTTTCCTGCCTTAGTTTCTACCCGTTTTCACACTATAAATACCTGGCTCTTGCATTGACAAAAACACACGAACACTCTTAGTTTTCTGAACTCACACTCACATTCAAAAAGCATTCTCTCTTGTTACTTGTACTGTGACCTGTTTTTCAAGTCCTGCTACTGCTTTTACTGTATTTTGCTTCCTTGAAACTGGTATGTACTGATTAAGATTTTCAGCAATCACAAACAATGTGTTTATTTAATACCTTTACATGCATGTCTGCCTACTGTTGGCGCTCAGTTCAGCGTTTACTTTAGCATGCTATAATCTTCTCCTATTATGAATTCCAAACCCCCCATACCCCAATGTGTTTGATATTAATGGTTTGTTTGAGGTATGACAGTATTAAATATTATTGTCTATGGCTCAAACTTGATTCCCCTGGAATCCTAACCTCTATGTCACCATCATGTGTTTTGTATTCTTGTTGATTCTGTAAGCATAACAGCACTCTTTATTGCTGTGTATGCCCAGGATTAGCTAATGCCTAAGTACATAGGCTCTTTGGCAATCTCCCCAATCCCTGAACCCTTTATATGACTTGTTTATGACTGTTTCCCAGCCCCTTCTCCCTCTTCTGCACTTTCTTAGTTCTTTAAAACTCTGTTTTCTTCACTCGCACTCTCTCTTAGACTTAAGTTCCGCCCCCCTCTTGTGAGCCTTGCCTTGGGACCCTTTGAGTTCCCTCTGAACTTGGACACTTGAGGGCTGGCACTTCCACACTGCACTTGTCCCCTACTCTGGTGCTACAATTTGGGTGTGAGCACTGCCCGGAGTCCAATTGAGGCTCTTAGGGAACTCTGACACACTCAAATAGGTGAAAGGCTTTGGATCAATGGTCTTTGAGTTTGGTCTATCTCATAACTCAGAC